ACATTTTAACTTCAAACTCCTACGTATCTGGGCACTGTAGCACTGTATTGCTCAACAAATTGCCATGGCTGTGTTTTTGCGATTGATTCTCAACCATTTTGTAACACTATTCGGGGTTAGGACCCAGAGTGGTTTATAATTATTTAGAGATATCTTGGATATTCAGAGACATACATCTATGGAAATGTCTATTTCAATTTTGACTTGGGGATTTTGTGATGCAGTTAGTAGAAATATTTGATGTGTTTATGTGTCGATTTGTGGATGTTAATTGTATGGAATACTTGTCTTTTGATACTGAATTGTACTTTTACATTGAATACAAACCTGTTTTGGAAACGTCTGTCTATACGTTTCAATACCATGGGTGAATCTTTAGTGAAGATTATTGAAGGGATAATGCAAGCGGTGTGCTCCTCCCACTATACACTGTAGAGCAATACAGGTTCAAGGGCACAGTATACGTCTTTAGGAGAAGTCGCTATTCTCGGGGAGAAGTCGCTATTCTCGGGGAAAAGCATGACTCATTCAGTTGGTCACAATGTCTACCTTATAGAGTAGCGTGGCCTTCTAAGACAACACAACCCCATACCTATATATTTTCGTGGTCAACCCTTGATACATCATATGTCTCATGGGAAGATTAGTAATAACCACAACCAATTGATCCTAATTCGGCGAAGTTAACAGTCAGATACGCATTATGATAGCATTTTAGAGCATGGTCGAAACATAAAGGTAAAACTGTCACAATTTTAATGTTTGTTAAAAGGAACAGGTGGTGAGAGATATACCACATTTTATTACATGTTTTGTATGGCGACCTTATCAGTTAGTTTATGATTAAATGTTGCCAAGGAGCAGTCATGCTCCATAATTTACTGCTTGGTTCGTGTGTTCTGGGAACGAAACGCGACGGACGTAGCCCGCCAAACATTTGACTAATTAATTAATGTTGGATCTAATGTCGGCTAATGCAAAATTAACTTGACTCCTCGTCTCTACGTCAGGGACGGTGGGGTAGCACAGTTGTTAAAGCGTTCGCTTGTCACGCTGAAGACCCGGTTTCAATACCCCACATGTTGCTTTCATTTGCATCATATACGTATATGTGTATTTCCTCTCCATGTCAAATTTAGTACTTTCATGTTATTGATGCAGTGGCTAAAGGACGAGGTATGGTGACAATCCGATTAGTTTCTACCGCTCTTCCCATTAGTCATTGTGCTGCAATGCTGCTGTAAATTTTGACTTTCATATTTTCTAAATAGGTTTCAAACTTGTAATTACTTTTGGAATTTTAATGCAGGTCTGCAAGAATACTGTTGACGACCGTACACCACACATGCTCATGGATTGAAATCCCGCTAAAATACCAACCAATCAGGTTCCGTAACTCGATGTGTGCACACGAGTCAGTGGAGGTCACCTATTATCGAGGACTTGTTGCCTGTTCGAAAATAACGTATGCTCGGATACTTCTGTTGGACAACACCGAGGTGTTTGGTACAGACACGATAACTTGTGACAAAGCAGACAGTTTAAGGTTTGTATGATGTATGATTTAACCTAAAGGGATTTTGCTTAATATTTAGTCGTCAGCCATGAAAAGGAAATAAACCCTTAAATATAACAATGAAAATATTTTGTATGTTTTGACATAATTTAGATTATGCAATGACTGTGTCTACATATAAATACCTTCTTCCACCACTTTATTAGTATGGGTGACAGTTGAAATAGGGAAATATTGCCTATAAAACTCTCTCACAAGTTGCCCTCAACTTCATCAAGTACTGTCTAAAGAACAAATTAATAATTTCTCATGGGACACATTCAGCTAGTTGTTTGATTTACGTATATAATACGTATCTATTCCCCATGGGAAGATAAACAATAAAGTTGCTAAATTAACTGTATGCATAGCGTCACTAAGTGCCACTATTGTGCTACCTTCTAGCTTCTGTTGCGCCTACTGTTGCTCCACTAAAGCTCCACCATCTAGTCACGTCTGTACCACATTTGCTTTACAACATACTCTGTTACTTTCATGCTGGTTGATGTAGGATTATTGAGTTACCGTGGTATATTGTCTGTCCATGGCATGCTCACCTGCAGTGTTTTGGCTGCAGGGTCATATTGTTATCTGATCGTTTGTTTGCAAATACTGATATGAATACTTGACATGTCAGGTGACTATTGGGCCGAAATATAAAACCATAACATCCATCACAGATATGTTGTTTACTGCACTTGTTCTTTTGATGGACTCGATCATGGTCAGTGGAGAGGCGCTTCAGCATGATGTGATTACTTCTATTGCTGGAAAACATCGATGGCTGCTCATTGACGTAGCCGCCGAGCCTCACAGTGACGGGATTGCGTAAAAGTGAAATATTTGGTGTTTGGCATGACATGATAGCTTTGAGGAATAATTTCTAAATTTGGGCCCACTTTTTCCGCCATAGTGATTGCAACAGGACGGACCACATTAGTAAATCGCTTCACTTCATCAGATTTGCTTACTTATAACCATTTTATAAAATATATATTGATCCAAGTAGGTGGGACCACATTAGTGTATCGCTAGGCTTCATTGGGTTGACTCAATAGTTTATGCGGCTCACATTTGTGGTTATTTTCATGGATATATTGCAATATATCTATAATTCTCATTTTGTTATATTGATGGGAAATGTCTTTATAAATTATTTAGTGTGACGTTACCTCCACGATAGGTACACATAGTATATAAAGTTTGAATAACGTTGCCAGCTGATCATTCTCTTTCCATAACCTGGTTTTAAAAGTTACAACGCAAGACACTTACTTCAAATTAAATTTCGAGAGGCAATGGCAGTCAATCTGCATTTTCCGGGATAACAGTTCAATCTGATCATAAATGTCGATAGAGATATAAACCTGAAAATTATGTCTTCGCTTGAATAGAACTCGGACATGATACAAGCCTGTGACCAATGTCCTCAAACAAAGTAAGTTCTGTAGTATTTGTATATTCTTATCCAATTAAAAGTCATGTTACATTTTATAAAAAGGCAAAATAGTAGATCGCAATACGTTTTTTAACGTAGTACATATTCTCTTCAAGTACAAATTAATTTCAGATGTGTTCCCACCTCGAACCTTCGAGTAAGCAAGCAGACAGACCCTTCTCGTGCCACTGATAAGTCGGTTTCACCGATAATTCAGTAGACATTTCCCTACATCCCATTATCGCAGAAACTTTGGCAATGAAGAAAGTATCAGCTCGTTGAGTTTCAACGCTTCTAACATCTGATCAAAACCGTACCAGGCACATGTCTTGTGATATTCTATCTCTGTTTGAAGTTGAACTAGAAAGGTTCTTGCAACTATTTGTGACTGTGGACGATACTACATTCTGAAAAGTGGAATCATTTGACATCACCAGCGCTAAAGAAGACAAAGACTGTCCCATCAGCTGGAAATGTTAACCCTGTTCTGGGATGCCGAGGATGTCATCATAATGTCATCATCTTCCAAAACATCAGACAGTTAATGGAGTCTATATTGCTGTATATTAAAGGCAATTGTAGCATGAAATTAAACAAAGAGAAGAGAAGCTGAAAAAGATGTGCTTTTGCATCAGGACAGTGCAACATTGCACAAGTCAGCCATTGCCATGCCTACGATCCACGAATGTGGCTTTGAACGCTTTATTCTCCTGATCTGTCTCCCATGAAATTGATGTGAAAGTAAATTGTAGGTATTTGATAACATCATTCATTTTGTTGAATATGTGATGGAACCAAATGAACACTGGCCTTGTATACAGACTGCCGAGTGAGCGAGTGCGCTTGGTCAGCGTTTGATTGGTGTGACTGTTTGAAGTAATTCTTACCTTTCATTTCAGGTAGGCCAAAGAGCTTCTGTCCTTACTCTTGCAAGATTCAGGAACACCGATACAGGTATCACGAGACGCGTCTACAATGCCACTTAGCAAAAGTAAGTTCATTGACAGGTAGGAGTCATTAACCAAAATCTAGAGACCTGGGAGTGAATTTTTGGTTGTTCCTAAAAAAAAGAGGTTATAGACGATATTTTATGTGTCAAGTGAAATATCATGTTTTTTCTACTCGAGTGACGGGTGGAAAGGAGATATTTTCACGAGTGGCCTAAAATAGAAAATATCTCCTTTTACCCCATCATGATATGAGAGAAACATGATATTTCACGAGACACATGGAATATCCTATTTCTTGTATACTTTTTTTACTTGTCTACCGGAAAATTAAATCGTTTTATTACAAATGTTAACCTTGAAACGTAAACTCTCCCTATCTAATACATAGGGACGGTTCAACACCCCTTGTATTTGCGACTTAAAAATAAGTTTCACGTTAGCAAAATCTTAAAAAATATAAACAAAGGTATCAAAAAATATTTAGGGTTACAAAAAGTCTTTATCGTACATTTAGAAATGATTATATACAAAATCAAATTTAACAAAAAATACATTCAGTTAAATGAGAAATTTACAGTTTATAACGAAACATTTTCGAAAGCAAAACAAACTGCAAGAAGTGATATTAATTCCATAAATGACCATCTACCATTATTTTGCCTTCTCAATGTGGAACTAATGTAAAAAGGACGTCAACAGGCAAGACACTTTCAATAAAGGGAGACAATTTGAGGGGAGGTAATCTTTGTATGAAATAGTTCCTTCAAAGTGTTATGTCCACTGCAGTGAGAATATAACTTTTCTCAAATTTCACAATGAAATATATGATAAATCCAGCCCTCGTGTAGTTACCTTTCATTAACGCTGAACTCGTCTGTGTAAGTCAGTCAATCATTATAATGCAACCCTAAGGACAGATTGAACACAGGCGTACATGTAAAAGAATAATGTTGACTATGAAGTGGTACGGCGAAGAAGTTGTGATCAAGTGTTAATTCTGTTTATTTTAGGTTCACCACATGTGAAGTCAAAACAAAACATAGATAGAGAGATAAGGATGGTGCTTGTTGGTAAGACAGGAGTAGGGAAGAGCGCAACGGGAAACACTATTGCCGGCAAGGATGAGTTTAGAGAAGATTTTAGTGGAACATCAGTCACATCAGAGTGTCAACAACTCAGCTTTGAGCGGGATGGGTATGAACTGCTGCTGGTGGATACCCCTGGCTTCTGTGACACAGGCATGTCAGCTGAGGACATCAGAAAGGAGGTGGGTCGGTGCGTAGCTATGTCCTCTCCAGGAATACACGCCATTCTGTTCATAGTTCAAGTTGGAAGATTCACAGATGAAGACAAGAAGACGATAGAAGCGTTCATTGCATGTTTTGGTGAAGAATGCAGAAAATATGTTCTGGTTATTTTTACAGGAAAGGATCAATTGGATAAAAGGAAGAAAATGATAGATGAATTCGTCAGATCTTGTCCGAAACCTCTCCAAATGTTCCTTTCTACTGTCCAAGGCCGATATATGGCAGTGAACAACAACGACATGTCCCCGGACAAGAAAACATTTACAAAGGAACTTGTAGAAACAATCTTACAAATGGTTCGAGCTAACGGCGGGATGTGTTACACCAACGACATGTACAGGAAGGCAGAGATTCAACAGAAGCAGGCTGAAGATGAAGAGGTGAAGAAAATTGCTGCCGCAAACAAAGCCAAGGATGAAAAGCTGATTGAAATAGAGAGAGCCCGGATAGAAGCAGAGTTGAGGAAACATCGTCTACCTGCGCTAGAATATGCAATAAAGATGAAAGAAGAACAGGAAGCCTTTATGGATTTCTTGGTAGATAGCCATCGGAAATTGGCCCGAAGACGCGTAAGGTCATACATTGGAAGCGGTGTTGGAAAGATTGTGGGATGTTTAGTAGCTATCCCAGCAGCTGTGGCAGGATTCTTTGTTGCCGGTCCTGTTGGTTCATCTGCAGGTGTGACAGCAGGTGTCACCGCTGGTTATGCTGTAGGTGGCCTCATAGACGGAATGATTGGTGAAAATATATCAGATTGTAGTTATGATCACTTATGAAGTTGTGTTTTTTAACACTTGCTTCTTCTGTCTGTATGTTCTATTCAGTCAGTCAAGGGCGGCCGGGTAGCCTAGTTTTGTTCGCTTGTAAAACCGAAGACCCGGGTTCAATTCCCAACATGAGTACAATGTGTGGAGCACATTTCTGGTGTCCCCCGCAGTGATACTGCTGGAATATTGCTAAAAGCGGCGTAAAAACTTACTCACTCACTCTATTGAGTCAGGGTATACATATATATGGTACACAATCTAATGGACAACAAGATTCACTAGATTTACGATACAATAACTGCACAACAATTACAATGGCAGTAAACAATAGAGTGGTAGTACAATATTCAATGACAATATATAATATGATAGCTGTGGTCAGTATACAAAAATAACTGTGGTGATAGCAGAAGTCAGTTATAAGACCCGGTAACAACAGTGGTCAAGCGTCCGAGACGGGCCTGGGCTGGGAATCCAGGGTGAAATGTGATCTTCACACGAAAGCTGGTCTTGATGTAATGTCAGATAAAATATGAGATGAAATTGGCGCGTGCTCGCTCCACTCATACAGTCTAAAAAGCTTCCAGCACTTTCCACAGAATCAGTATCAACAGAACATCACAATTATTTCACATGTTTCTATAACACTTGACATCCATTCCGGAAGTTTACAGATAATTCGAGCGTCTAAATATGCTAACTTCCTCACTACTGCTTACATTCCTGACAACTAATCATATAAAACGCATACAACGCAATGGACTTCTACTGATCATGCATCTCAACAGAAAGAATGCAATACAATCATTGTTTAACAATACATTACACTAATATCTTAACTTTAGGGAACACTTAGGCAGAAGAAGTAGGTATCAATCAATTCCGTGAACCCCAACTTATAAACTTGTATTCATTGTTGGGCCATTTGTTTCAATAATTGTGTGCGGTGGTGTTTTAATCCTGTATTGGCTTGATCAGCTTCATGCGTGTGATGCCAACAAGAGGTGGATGACGACTCTTGACTTTACAGCAGAGGCTACTAGTCCTTTGTGTTAACGCTGTTGCTCTTGCTTCTCCATGTTCGTCACACTGCGGCCGTGACGTACTATCACGTCCCACGCCGTCGATTCATGTCTGTTATGGTGTCATGTAGTGCAGCCATATCAGTAAGCTGAGTATTTCATAGCTTGTAGTTGTTTCAGTCCGCTAACAATCGGCACCAAACTATTATTACTTCCAACGCACTCGGACGAAAAACTATCTTACATTACACGAAACATGGGGGTAGAGCAAACTCCATTTTCTTCAATAAAGTGACGTTAATCTAAACATTCTCGTACTCCGTTCCACTGTTGTTGCCAAAGAAGGTTGATTATGTAGTTAACGGTGAAGAGTACTGTATACAAGCATAGCCTTATGTTTGTTTCAGATAAAAAAACTGTTTGGTTATGCAATCCATTAATACGAACGTCTAATTGTGTCACTTTGGTTGCATAATTCTATTTTTTATAAATCGACAGTTCTCGTTATTTCAATTATGTTCTCTAAATTACGTCCTTTTCTCGTTACTTCGAAACTTTCTCTACTTAATTTCCTTTCGCATGCTACCAAAATTGCATCATTAGGCTTTCGTAAATTAATACTAGTTAAAATACAGAATTTTTTTTATTTCAGTCAAGTGTATTTTAGATGAGGATTTGTTATGTGATAAAAAGAAAAATTGCAAGGACACAAGGTTGCTATGCATTAACGGTTATGTATATAGCGACGTACGCCATCATGGATATACAGGCTACACGTGAAGATCCGGGTGAGATTAGGTCTTCAGTTAGAAGATAAATACTATGTGTGTGTCTATTTCCGGGATTTTATCGAGTATTTGCATCTTGGAAATTCATTCGAGACCGTATTTATCGATATTGTAAACCTATTGTTATATTTAGAAAAAAACATGCGCACTCTTTAACACCTCGTACTTTCTCGGTTGTGATGCGTCAACATCGAACGTTCTGTTGCTGCTATGGTGATTGTGATTTTGGTACACCGGTATTGAGACGCAAATACCATCACGTATATTTCAGCTGCGATACCTACATCCTTGAATTCCTCATACATTTTAGAATCAAATGCCAAATGGTCTTTGTCACCAATACAAATTGTCTAAATGTAATGAAGCAAAATAAATGAGGTGTGAAAACGGACGCTGAAAAAACTGCACTTGTTGGAAATGTAAACAAAGCCATTCGTCTATTCGTTGAGTACATTGGCTCGAGATCTGCATTTTCAGAATATACACGGGAAGAGAATCGTAGGAAGAATTAGGGAATTAAACATATATATATTGCAATAATTTGATAGTTTCAACAGAACTTGTCGAAGTTCCCGTTCTGTGTGACGCCATGACTGACGCAAAATCACGCACAACGACAACGGTATTTATCAGAATTTCTGACTATTTACGTTGGTTTCAATGAAAAATACAACAACAAAAAACAGTACACAGATTGTCAGAATGTTTCTGATTACTTACATGTCACAGTTATGTATATACGAACCCTGAATCAACGAAAGTCCCCTCGTAAAATCCCGCGCACTGTTGATAGTCAACACGCCATTTTGTAAAACTCGGTCACCGGTAGTGATGTCAAACTTCAACATATTTGTTGTACATATTTGGTAATTTCTCTGAGTTGAAGGTCCTTGAATGAGAGTACACACGATCATTGTTAACTGCTTTTTACTGTTTCATGATGTAGATCTTGCATATCTTTTGTACATTTTTTTCACACAATAAATTTCACTTTGGATATTAATTTTAATGAAAAAATCAAAATATTTGTTATGAATGTTAATTTTGTATTTCAATTTGCGTCCATTGTTAATTAGTATGCAAAAAATGCTGAGTAATTATGTATTCCTACACAGTGATTCGGTCGCTTGCTTCAGGGAATGCAAATAATATTTTCACCCTTTGACATTTGGTCATGTGACCCAAATTAGCCAATCACAACACAGAACACGCTTTCTATAGGTTAACAATAACCTATGCTTGCCGAAACAGGCAACTATGCTTGTCGTAAGAGGTGACTAATGGGATCGGGTGGTTAGGCTGGCTGACTTGCTTGATGCATGTCATCATGTCCCAATTGCGTACATTGATTACTCGATTATTTACAGACCGCCGTCATATAGCTGGAATATTGCTGAGTGCGGCGTTAAACAACAAACAAACAGTATGGGTGACAGAATCGCGTACCCAACATCTTTATCGAAATCGAACGTTTGAAAAAATCCCAAACAAATTGCACCTATGGAATTAAGGCGATAGAAGCGTTCATAAAATATGCATGTTTGCCCTTCTAATGTCCGAAAGTATTCTTTTGAAATTTGATTTATGAACATTTGATAAACACCACTGTGAGTATGATTTTACGCCGCTTGAGCAATATTCCGACAATACCACGACGAGGGACACCAGAAATGGGTTCCTCAAAATGTACCCTTGTGGGGAATCGAACCGGCGTTGATGAGCGAAAGCACTAACCACTGGGTTCCCTCACCGTCCCTCTCGCTGTGACAATGGTGTTATCACAGTCGCTTTGTCGCTTTCTCGTCTCGTATAATCGCTTTCTCGTCTCGTATAATCGCTTTATCGTCTCGTATAATCGCTTTATCGTCTCGTATAATCGCTTTATGGTGGTGGTGTTCAGCCATGTATAAATGGTTTCATACTTTTCTTATTTCTGAAAGTTTGTTCTTCTTTCTTTTTTTGTTATTAGGCTGATATATTTTTAAAACAAATCATTGGAATGGATGGTTTTTTTCGTGTTGACTTTTTAATTTTTTGTAGTTTGGTTTAATCAAAATAGCTTGATAAGAAATGTGTTTAATCATATTAGTTTGATTGATATGAATATAATTTTGCTGTTTCGGGATAGTAATATTTCAAGACACAAATGATTTCAATTTGTTGTTAACCTGCTTTGTATTTTCCACAAACATTATGGACTGTTCATGACGTACTGCTTTGTCGTAATCAAATAAAATTCGTAAACTGCAGGACTGTGTTACCTATGGCTTTGTTACGTAGGTCACACTGACATAAAGTAAAGGCCGAGCGGAGGACGCTGAAGATGACGTTTCCATTCCATTCGGACAAAAATATTTAAAAACAAGGAAAACCACACTGTTAAATGGTATCTGAACATGGTCGAAGCCCGCGCTTTAACATTCAACATGTTGTGTGTTTGTTTGTTTGCTTTTTAACGCCGCACTCAGCAGTAGTCCAGCTATATGACGGCGGCCTGTGAATAATCGAGTCTGGACCAGACAATCCAGTGATTGGCACCATGATCATCGATCAACGCAATTGGGATCGATCGCGATGACAAGCATCAGCCAAGTCAGCGAGCCTGACCACCCGATCCCGTTATTCGCCTCTTACGACAAGCATATTCGCCTTTTACGGCAGGCATGGGTTGCTGAAGACCTATTCTACCCCGGAATCTTCAGGGATCCATTCAACATGTGCGCTGATGGTCAGGCGACTGTACATGCAATATGACTTGGATTAGGGTCAGTGCAGCACAATTAGGTAGTTTAAGAGGCATACCCTGGATCCTATGATATACTGCATACCCTGGACCCTATGATACACTGCACACCCTGGATCCTATGATACACTGAATACCCCGGATTCTATGATACACTGCATACCCTGGATCCTATGACATGCTGCATACCATGGATCCCATGATACACTGCATACCCTGGATCCTATGATACACTGCATACCCTGGATCATATGACATGCTGCATACCCTGGATCCTATGACATACTGCATACCCTGGCTCCTATGATACACTGCATACCCTGGATCCTATGATATACAGCATACCCTGGATCCAATTATATACTGCATACCCTAGATCCTATGATACCCTGGATCCTATGATATAATGCATACCCTGGATCCTATGATATACTGCATACCCTTGATACTATGATATACTGCATACCCTGGATCCTGTGATACACTGCATACCCTGAACCCTATGATACACTGCATACCCTGGATCCTATGATACACTGCATACCCTGGATCCTATGATATACAGCATACGCTGCATCCTGTGATATGCTGCATACCCTGGACCCTATGATACACTGCATACCTTCGATCCCATGATACACTGCATACCCTGAATCCTCTGATATGCTGCATACCCTGGATCCTATGATACACTGCATACTCTGGACCCTATGATACACTGCATACCATCATCCTATGATACACTGCATACCCTTGATCCTATCACATACTGCATACCCTGGATCCTATGACATGCATACCCTGGATCTTATGACATGCTGCATAGCCTGGATCCTATTACATGCATACCCTGGATCCTATGACATGTATACCCTGGATCCGATGATATACAGCATACCCTGAATCCAATTATATACTTCATACCCTGGATCCTATGATACACTGCAGACCCTGGATCATATGATACACTGCATACCCTGGATCTTATGATACACTGAATACCCTGGATCCTATGATACACTGCATACCCTGGATCCTATGATATACTGTCTACCCTGGATCCTATGATATACAGCATACGCTGCATCCTATGATACACTGCATACCCTGGATCCTATGATACACAGCATACCCTGGATCCTATGATACACTGCATACCCTGTATCTTATGATACACTGAATACCCTGGATCCTATGATACACTGCATACCCTGGATCCTATGATATACTGCATACCCGGGATCCTATGATATGCTACATACCCTGGATCATCTGATACACTGCATATCCTGGATCCTATGACATGCATACCCTGGATCCTATGATATACAGCATACCCTGGATCCTATTATACACTGAATACCCTGTATCCTATGATACACTGCATACCCAGGATCCTATGATATACTGCATATTCGGATCCTATGACATGCTGCATACCCTGGATCCTATGATACACTGCATACCCTGGATCCTATGATATACAGCATACCCTGGATCATATTATACACTGCATACCCTGATCCTATGATATGCTGCATACCCTGGATCCTATGATTCACTCCATATCCTGGATCCTATGACATGCATACCCTCGATCCTATGATATACAGCATACCCTGGATCCTATTATACACTGAATACCCTGTATCCTATTATACACTGCATACCCAAAGTCCTATGATATACTGCATATTCGGATCCTATGACATGCTGCATACCCTGGATCCTATGATACACTGCATACCCTGAATCCTAGGACATGCATACCCTGGATCCTATGATATACAGCATACCCTGGATCAAATTATATACTGCATACCCTGGATCCTATGATATACTACATACCCTGGATCCTATGATACACTGCATACCCCGGATCCTATGGTATACTGCATACCCTGGATTCTATGACATGCTGCATACCCTGGATCCTATGATACACTGCATACCCTTGATCCTATGACATGCATACCCTGGATCCTATGATATACAGCATACCCTGGATCCAATTATATACTGCATACCCTGGATCCTATGATATACTACATACCCTGGATCCTATGATACACTGCATATCCTGGATCCTATGATATACTACATACCCTGGATCCTATGACACACTGCATACCCTGGATCCTATGATATGCTGCATCCGTGAGGACGATGCGTTTGATTTCAATGAACTGGGGAAAAAATTTGATTGTGTGTCATCGCACCCCGACATCGTGGGACTTAATATGGATCACTGGTTTCTCTGCTCCAAAGTTGATTATTTACAGACCTAGCCGTGCACGGCAGATTTCGGTCTGAAACAGATACCACAATTGTTCCTAGATATTACATTTTCGGATGATCTACTGTACTGACACAGAAACACCAGTCATCATTCAGCGTTTCCTCGTCGATAGTGGTTAACCTTGCCGATAGCATCGTCTTTATACGGTTGTGATGTTATTTAGGTGCATGCCAATTTGTCAAATATGAAATGTGATCCTTGAAGATCCGGGGTATAATAGGTCTTCAGCAACTCATGGTTGCTGTAAAAGGCGAGTATGCTTGTCGTAAAAGGCGACTAACGGGATCGGGTGGTCAGGCTCGCTGACTTGGTTGATGCATGTCATCGATCCCAAATGCGTGGATGGATGTTCATGAGATCAATCACTGGATTGTCTGGTCCAGACTCGATTATTTACAGACCGCCGTCATATAGCTGGAATATTGCTGAGTGCGGCGTTAAACAACAAACCAACCAACCAATCATGCATGGCATACCTATAAAGTGAATTACAATTCAGTGCGTCGGTAATACTTCAGTCATTAAGCAACAGACCAGAACATACATTGTATTACACATTCAATAACTTAATGAACAATACACCGATATCAATATCACAGTCACTATAAAACAAACACAAATGCTGGTCAAAATTATATATACACTTGAAAATTTGGTTTGACCAACACATTACAAACGTTATGAAAAGAAGTCAGGGTGAACAGAGTCGTCCAAATACTGCAAGAGTAAGGTCCCAGATAGAACTATGATATCCGTATCAAGTACATCACCATCGATTAACCATTTCTGGTTTGTTTCATTTTTTCCCCCATCATGTATGGTTGTATACTCAAATAAATCAGAAACAGGTGGACGAAAAGAAATATCTGACTGTGCCGTGGCCAAGTGATTATGAGTCATTATGAAATAGTGATAATATTCTGTCTTTTCGCGAACAGGTGAGCCTATTCTGTCCCACCGGTGGCACCCGTCACAAAAAAATTAAAACGACAAAACCCTTTCAATTTTCATAAGACATCTTGTCGATTGTACAGGTCCGACCATGTCATGATCATGCGTCCCGGAATTCAATAGTGATGACACCAGGTGTTCGCGAAAGGTGAGCGTATCCTGCCGTACCGGTGGCACCCAAAACACACAAAAGTAAGTCACCTGTCCACCTGAAAAAAAGACCCACGGGAACAGCTTGTACATGTCAAAACATGGACCTGCATCGGACATCATTTTTGTCGCTGTTGCATGAAATTTTGAAATGTCATCCACATGTCTTCAATCGAACACAATCAGGGGAAAGTCACTGACAGGCACACGAAACACACTTTTACTAATCAGAGTTAGAGCTTGAGTCATTTACGTTTGTTTGAAGCAGCTGTATTCGTTCATCTACCCTTTTGTCGAGTACGTATTTGCCTATGAAGTAGAAACAGCAAAATATAGAAAACTGATAGGTTACAATGCCCAGTACAACGTAAAGAAACGCATCTGATCCGTACGTTCCTATGAGCACACCCCCTACGTAGGGGCCGACCATAGCTCCTGTGTATTCCCCCACACTTCCAAGAGCTATTACAAATCCTGTTAACTGAATATGCTCCCTGGCCCAAGAGAAACTCAGTGCTGAGAAAGGAGCACAGAAGAATCCGAAAAAGGCTGTAACAGATGCAAGCCACGTTTCACTTTCTCGTCCGAAGACAATAAGCATTACAGATGCTGAAAACAAACCAATATAGCAAACTATTATGATCCAAATCTGACGAATGAAGATTGAGATTACTGTCATGACGATTCGCCCAGTCACAAAGGCTCCCCAGAATAGCGCTGTTATTAACGCCATGTAGCTGGTGCTGATGTTCATCGCGCTGTTCACTCCGTAAGTCGAAAGAAGGTTGCCATAAGTTACGAATATTCCTCCTGCAGGCATACACAGAAGGTAAAAAAACACAAGGAAAAGGGTGTATCCTCGTCGGTTGTTGTAACTGTCGCCAGTGGAACGAGATTCAAAGATCGTGGAGTAGGAAGGAGATCTCTGCCTGAAAAACGTGTACAGGACGAACATGATGATAGATAAAGGGACGCCAGAGGAAGCGAGGATTACGTACACATACTGAACACGATGGGTCTCATTCGGACACAACGACCCGTCTTCTGTGATGGGGATGGTCGTATTGGGTGGTGATTCCTGTTCGTGTAGGAAGGGGGCAGCCACTAAGGACGCTATGATAGGACCCAGGGCGAACCCAGCGATGACCAGATGAACAGCAAACGGCTGGTGTGGCCATAAATCATCTGCTCGGAATATACGACCTGCAAGCGAATACATGGAAGATTTTAATTGTTTTATAATAAGTTTGTTCGGTTGCGTGTATCAAAATATCAAAATGTTATACCAATAAATACAATGGCATCTCTATTGAAATGTAATCCCATCTCTACACATTGTATCGAGACCAGACCAGACAGAACAAATGTTATATATGGGATAACACTTCGTTTTGTTGGGTTGATTCCCATCCGGGATTCGAACCTAAACTGTTCGAAGGAAGTGTTATCCCAAATATAACATTTGTTACATTTGAACACTTTCTAAGTGGCATCGTGTGGTCATGGCTTTCGGCCACAGGAGCCTTGCCAATTTACTTTTGTCAGAGTGGTACACAGAGTAGGTGATCTAGACTACCAGTTATCGGTCTTCGTAAATGGCATTGTGTGTTCTACGAGATGACTTCAAAGATCGAGTGGTCATGCTTTGAATTTTCAATCAGGTAATGTAAATCAAAGTACTTACTGTTAAATAGCACCCCTATGCATAGAGCGGTAATGGCGGACATGACTATTGCTGAGTACACACTGTCCAGGAATGGGAAGACACACTGTGACGCAAGGGCTATTGTTGTTGCCGCTGCCATCACAAGGTGGAGCTCCAGCTTGGACAACAGGAAGCAGCCCAACACTGAGCCGAGGGCATTCATCATACCAAACACGAAGAAGATGATAGAGATCGTCTTTAAATCGGTACCGAAGAGGCATTGCAGTGCTGGCAATGTTGGTCCGAGCACTCCTGTAAAACTGCCCTGGAAATATAACATAAGTAGGGTTTTACTTGACTTACAAAAGTGGAGGTCCAGGTACCCTCAATAATGTATTTGGAGGGCCCTTATAGGCATGGAGTGAGTGAGTGAGTGAGTTGGGTTTAACGCTGCTTTTAACAATATTCCACTTATATCGCGGCGTGTCAGCTTAATTTGGGAGGAAAGCCCGAAGTGATGCAGGTCTCAGACGTTTACCACTTCGGTGAAACCCACGAGCACGGGTAAGGTGCTGACAAACCTAGAAACATGATCGGGGCGACCGGGATTCGAACCCACAATCATAGGTTTCTGTCGTGCCCAAGGGACGCAACTCTGCACAGCGAATCGCGGCGCCTTAGACGACTGGGACACCCGTGCAGGCATTTCTTCATCTGTGCCTAACCGGACACACAATTGTGCGACGCGCAAAACTCTGCATAGGGAATATCTTCTGAAAGATTACAGGGGTAGAATAGGACTTCAGCAACCCATGCTTGCCGTAAAAGGCGACTATGCTTGTCGTAAAAGGCGGCTAACGGGATCGGGTGGTCAGGCTCGCTGACTTGGTTGATGCATGTCATCTATCCCAATTGCGTGGATCGATGTTCTTGATGTAAATCACTGGATTGTCTGGTCAAGACTCGATTATTTAGAGACATTCGTCATATAGCTGGAATACTGCTGAGTGCGGCGTTAAACAACAAACACACAAATCAACCATCTGAAAGCAGAGTCCATTGTGCGATTCCAGCTATATCATAAGCACATGTTAATGAACTCTATCAAATTCCTACAAGTGACACATATGGTATTGTCAAATAGTAATGATACCAGTTAACGCGAAAAGGGAAACGTATCCTGCCCCATCGGTGGCACCCGTCACAAACACATGCAACACCAAGTCAAATGTCCAACTGTGAAAAACAAGGCAATTGCATGAGAAATGATGTTGGCCACTATGCGTCAAATTTGGAAACGTCATCCCCAAGTTTACCATAAAACGTTTCAAAAGCTTTACAGATACATTGACTCTTACTCATATTTTTTTCAAGGTTACTATATTCAAGGCCCCATTAAAGCTTAAAATTGTTCATGGTAGACATGCCAAAGATGGCATTTAAAAAGTAGCATCAGGGACAAAAGGTATGTCCGATGCAATTCCCTATTTTGACTTGAACCATATGTTCGCGTGACTTTTTCAGGTAAACAATTGACTTGATTTTACAGGTGTTTGTCAAGGGTGCTACCGGAAGGGCAGGATGCGATCACCTTATCACGAACACCTTGTATCATCGCTATTCATGGACGCATGATATGGTTGGAATTGTGCAATCGACTCGGTTTTTAGCAGAGATTTCTTGAGAATGTGGACAAGTTTTTGTCGCCTTTATGTTGTTTGTTTGTTTGTTGTTTAACTCCGCACAAGGCAATATTCCAGCTATATGACGTCTGTGTGTAAATAGACCGCCTCCGTGGTTTAGAGGTAGAGCGTCCGCACGGAGAGTGGAAGGTCCGGGGTTCGATCCCCGGCCGCGTCATACCAAAAGACGTTAAAAGATGGTACTTGTTGTTACCCTGTCTGGCGCTCGCCATTGAGGGGCTAAAACAAGGACTGGTCGGCTCGGAGTCAGTATACTGTGTCTGAGTGGGGTATCCATGTTAAACTGCGGCATGGTATCTCAGTGAGCTAGCACTATAAATCGGCATCAGTCCGGACTAGTACAAGCAGCCACACACACACACACACACACACGTGCATGCACGTCGCTATATAAGTGCAATAATCTTGGACGCGACGTTAAACCCCATTTCACCTCACCTGTCTGTAAATAATTGAGTCTCGACCAGACAATCCAATGCTTGATATCATGAGCAGCGATCCACGCATTGGGATCGATGACCTGCATCAACCAAATCAGTGAGCATGACCACCCGATCCCGTTAGTCGCCTCTTGCGACAAGCATAGTCGCCTTTTACAGCAAGCATGGGTTCCTGAAGACCTATTCTAACCCGGATCTTCACGGGTCTCTACATGTTGAAGTAACACATCATTATATCTGTACATGTACTTACATTGATCTACTAACAGTATATTTCAATCGGTGGCATCTTCTGTATTACGGTCTACTACAAGAAGCCTCATTTTGATTTTTCAGTCGGAACGTCCCGTGCATGTGGATCAATAAACCATGAGATCAATCTTGTGGCGTCTATATTTCTCAATTGCTTAGTTATTTTTGAGCATGTATATTTCTAATGAATCTGGGATTTTTGATGAATATTAGAACGGGTTTTGTCGCTTTCATTTCAAATTTCATGAAAGGTTGTGCTTATAACTAAACTCTTCAAGGTTTCACATGCCCGAATATGATATAACGCTTCTAAACAGAATACGCGATGCCATCCGATTCTATACCAGTTACATGGATTTACGTCTCCTCAGCCACTAGTTGATGCCTTCTGGCGAGTACGACCGGCATAAAAGGACATGATTATCTTGTTCGCAGACATCACTTTTTCAGTGGCCCATTCATATGATTTTTACCACTAATTTGATTTTTACGCCTAATGATTGATTGGTTTCTATGTTTTACGCCGCACTGTTTTATGTTTTTCGCCTTGACCAGACAATCCAGTGATTGACATCATGATCATCGATCCACACAATTGGGATCGATGACATTCTTCAACCAAGTCAGCGAGTCTGACCACCCGATCTCGTTAGTCGCCTCTTACGACAAACATAGTCATCTTTTACGGCGAGCATGGATTGCTGAAGACCTATTCCTTCCCGGATCAAAATTATTTTTGTTCAAATATATATACATACACTCCAAAAAAAAGAAACGCGCAGGTAGTATGTAGTTCATTGAGCCTGACTACACAAAAAATCCGGGGAGAATAGGTCTTCAGTAACCCATACTTGTCGTAAAAGGCGACTAACGGGATCGGGTGGTCAGGCTCCTTGACTTGGTTGAAGCATGTCGTCGTTTTCCAATTGTGTGGATAGACGCTCGTGATGTCAAACACTGGATTGTCTGATTATTTACAGAACTGGACCAGACAATACAGTGAGTAGCGATCTACCAAACAGCGAGCCTAACAACTTGATAAAGTTAGTAGAATTTAACGACCAGCACAGATAGCTTCGGACTTATTCTCACGCTGAATTCCCACGGGTGCCGCTGGTATTAAGTATTTGAGGTCCAAAAGTTTGGCTTGGAACCGATAGAAAAACTGAAAACACGTCTTGTTTATCGACAGTAAATTGATAAAAAATGACAACACTCTGGAATGCTAGCACGACTGTGCTAAAATCGATGCTTCACATGCTGTCGTGACAATTGAACCGGCAAGGTTGGCAGAGTGTGGAAAAATAATCATCTGATTATAATAATATTTCTCCGGCGCAGTATTTAATCGATACGATATTCATCATGGATTCATTTTTTTCTATTTCAAATTAAGGACGTGATACTCGTCAATGACATAATTCCTACACCGTGTAAGGTCTGTAAGGTTTCCGGGATTCGAATTCATTTCAACAACGTTTTCACCCACTCAGATTTAAGCATATACAGTAAACTACGGTTATAACGAACTCAAAGGGACTACTAATTTTAGTTCGTTATAACCGTAGTTCGTTATAAGCATATATACAGCATAACTACAGCAAATAATCGGGACCAAAAAGTAGGTTTGTTATATCCGTCAGTTCGTTATAAGCGTGTTCGTTATAAACGTAGTTTACTGTAAGTGTTTTTAATGTTGTATATGTTGCATACAGATGTTGCTTTTGGTGGGTTATCTTAAATATCACAGTGTCTCATCTCTCAAGACCACGTAGCCTACCCTCACTAGGTTATCGATAGAAGAGGTTCTGTCAGATACTGTTCACACAGATGAGCTTCCCGTCCCTACTAAGACGGCCACGCCCTGCGCGCGTTAGGACACGGTTTGTTTCATGCCGCACTCAACAATATTCAAGCTATATTAGACCCATGAAGATTCCGGGGTAGAATAGGTCTTCAAAACCCATGCTTGCCATAAAGGCGACTATGCTTGTCGTAAAAGGCGACTAACGGGTGGTCAGGCTCGCTGACTTGGTTGATACTTGTCATCGATCCCAATTGCGTGGATCGATGCTCATGATATTAATCACTGGGTTGTCTGGTACAGACTCGGTTATTTACAGACCGCCGTCATATAGCTGGAATATTGCTGAGTGCGGCGTTAAACAACAAACAAACAAACCAACCAAGCTATATGAAGGCGGGCAGTAGTTTATCGAGTCTGGTCCAGACAATCGTATGATTGTTATTATGAGCAGCGAACAATCAACCACGCCACGGAGCCTGATCCCATCGCCTTTATAGTTGCTTCTTACGACAACCATGTGTTGATGGGAACATACTCTAACCCAGACGCTGCATCCTTGTTGGTGATGCCACTTTAATTTGTGCCTATTTATTGTAAAAGGCGACCCGTGAAGATCCGAGGTAGAATAGGTCTTCAGCAAACCATGCTTGCTGTAAGAAGCGACTATGTTTGTCTGTAGAGGCGACTAACGAGATCGGGTGGTCAAGCTCGCTGACTTGGTTGATGCATGTCATCGTATCCGACTTGCGTGGATCGATGCTCATGATATCAGTCACTGGATTGTCCGGTCCAGATTCGATTATTTGCAGACCGCCGTCATTTAGATTTAACATTTCTGAATGCGGCGTCAAACAACAACAAAAACAAATAAGTATAACCCAGACTCTCACATTGAGTAGTTGAACCGCCGTCAGCGATCTACGACACCAACTACAGTGCTCCAGTGAGACGTCACGGACGACAAGCACAGATTTCCACGGACCTGTTCCAAACCATTCTCCTGCCTCTACCACAGGCCAGCGCAATGTGACGATTCGTCACATCTTACACGGTCCATTCAAGATATTGCATATGCTTTTGATCTGTTTCATTTTTGACGAGTCTACAAATTTAGATAACACGTCAAAGAACGGTTAACTCTGATTGAGAAAATATCCTTAAACGTGAAAAACTTTCCGTTTCCGTATTTATCCATTGTTTACATTGGTTGTACGGCTCAACGTGCCGCTTAAAAGCCCTACGGAGCGCAAGCGATACGGTGACGTTAATGTATAAATATGCAGTAGTAGTAGCATATGTATATAATTATGCAAAACAATATGTAAAGCGCACCGAAAGGCTAGCTTTGGGGCAATCAGTTCTGATTTCAAAATAAGCACGTTTTTTTTTAAGAAAAGAGAGAAAGGTCCAGTCACGTGATGCAAGTCATCAAGTCGCTGGAGCGTGGTTTTGTTTGTTTGTTGTTTAACGCCGCAATGAGCAATATTCCAGCTATATGACAGCGGTCTGGAAATAATCGAGTCTGGACCAGACAATCCAGTGGATGACATCACGAGCATCGATCTATGCCATTAGAATATAATAACATGCATCAACCAAGTCAGCGAGCCTGACCACCCGATCCCGTTAGCCGCCTCTAACGGCATGCATGGGATGCTGAAGATCTATTCTACCCTAGATCCTCGAGGGTCCGGAGCGTTGTTCTAACCTAAAGGTGACTATGCTTGTCGTAAAAGGCGACTAACGGGATCGGGTGGTCAGGCTCGCTGACTTGGTTGATGCATGTCATCGATCCCAAATGCGTGGATTGATGCTAATGATATCAATCACTGCATTGTCTGGTCCAGACTCGTTTATTTACAGACCGCCGTTATATAGCTGGAATATTGAAGAGTGCGGCGTAGAACAACAAACCAACCAACCAACCGACTTGCGTGGATCGATGCTCATGATATCAGTCACTGGATTGTCCGGTCCAGATTCGATTATTTGCAGACCGCCGTCATTTAGATTTAACATTTCTGAGTGCGGCGTCAAACAACAAACAAACAAACAAGTATAACCCAGACTCTCACATGGAGTAGTTGAACCGCCGTCAACGATCTACGACACCCACTACAGAGCTCCATTGAGCACAGATTTCCACGGACCTGTTCCAAACCATTCTCCTGCCTCTACCACAGGCCAGCGCAATGTGACGATTCGTCACATCTTACACGGTCCATTCAAAATATTGCATATGCTTTTGATCTGTTTCATTTTTGACGAGTCTACAAACTCAGATAACACGTCAAAGAATGGTTAACTCTCATTGAGAAAATATCCTAAAACGTGAAAAACTTTCTATTTGCGTATTTATCAATTGTTTACATTGGTTGTACGGCTCAACGTGCTGTCATAAAAGCTCTACGGAGCGCAAGCGATATATGGTGACGTTAATGTATAAATATGCAGTAGTAGTAGCATATGTATATTATTATGCGAAACAATATGTAAAGCGCACCGAAAGGCTAGCTTTGGGGCAATCTTTTCTGATTTCAAAATAAGCACGGGTTTTTTTTAGAAAAGAGAGAAAGTTTCAGTCACGTGATGCAAGTCATCAAGTCGCTGGAGCGTGGTTTTGTTTGTTTGTTGTTTAACGCCGCAATGAGCAATATTCCAGCTATATGACAGCGGTCTGGAAATAATCGAATCTGGACCAGACGATCTAGTGATTGACAACACGAGCATCGATCTATGCAATTAGAATACAATGACATGCATCAACTAAGTCAGCGAGACTTCCCACCCGATCCCGTTAGCCGCCTCTAACGGCAAGCATGGGATGCTGAAGATCTATTCTACCCTAGATCCTCACGGGTCCGGAGCGTTGTTCTAACCTAAAGGTGACTATGCTTGTCGTAAAAGGCGACTAACGGGATCGGGTGGTCAGGCTCGCTGACTTGGTTGATGCATGTCATCGATCCCAAATGCGTGGATGGATGCTCATGAGATCAATCACTGCATTGTCTGGTCCAGACTCGTTTATTTACAGACCGCCGTCATATAGCTGGAATATTGCTGAGTGCGGCGTTAAACAACAAACCAACCAACCAACCAGTACCTACCTCCAGTGATGCTGTGTACACTAGTAGCCCTGTCAGCCCCAACTTTCTCCAGGTCGTCATCTCCATGCTGATGTCAATGTGTCTGAAACACAGTATGTTAAATGGTTCAGTTAGCGCTTCAGATTTATCTCAATGTATCGATGTTAACTGTCCCTGCTAGTTACCGTTGAGGTGAGCTGAAATGGGGTTCAACGTCGCGTCCAAGATTATTCCTGTGAAGATCCGGGGTAGAATAGGTCTTCACCAACCCATGCTTGGCGTAAAAGGCGACTATGCTTGTTGTAAGAGGCGACTGACGGGATCGGGTGGTCAGGCTCGCTGACTTGGTTGATGCATGTCATCGTATCCCAGTTGCGTGGATCGATGCTCATGTTGTCAATCACTGGATTGTCCGGTCCAGACTCGGTTACTTACAGACCGCCGTCATAAAGGTGGAATATTGCTGAGTGTGGCGTTAAACAACAAACAAACAAATGAAACATGTCATCGTATCCCAATTGCGTGGATCGATGCTGATGAAATCAATCACTGGATTGTGTGGTCCAGACTCGATCATATACAGACCGCCATCATATAGCTGGAATATTGCAACACAAACAAAACCGACTTATGATAGTTGAAGCCACTTGCGTCAAAATAATTTAAGAGATTATTCGTGTATTCACTAATATGCATAGGTTTCCATTCATGGCGATATTCATGGGACGATAACCACAGCTAGCACTACTGAATTCAAAACATACACACTACAATGATTGTTCCAATTCCTATTAAACAGAAATGTTAAATAGGTTCAATATTCAAAGCAAACTCACGCATAATGGTGATTGCTTTTCTCTAGGTTACAGTGAATATCATCAAAAATAACAATGCACACATTGCGAGATTAATTCTGCTGACTTATACATGTATGAGTCGATGTATTCTGATCCCTGAGTCACCGCTGTACATCGCGCATGCAGCTGTCGCTGAACGCAATGATGTGAAAGGTGGTGATTTCTTACGTCAACATCAGTGTACATATATTGATTATTTTATATTTTTCTTGTATCCCGTTAATTACATTTTCATCCATGATGCATATCTTATGAACACATGACCCGTGGTTGGTTTAGTTGGTTGGTTGGTTTGTTGTTTAACGCCGCTCTCAGCAATATTCCAGCTATATGACGGCGGTCTGTAAATAATCGAGTCTGGACCAGACAATCCAGTGATTGACGTCATGAGCATCGATCCACGCAATTGAAATCGATGACATGCATCAACCAAGTCAGCGAGCCTGACCACCCGATCCCGTCAGTCGCCTTTTACGGCAAGCATGGGTTGCTGAAGACCTATTCTACCCCGGAATCTTCACGTGATGATCTGGGATAGAATAGGTCTTCAGCAACCCATACTTGCCCTAAAAGGCGACTATGCTCGTAAGATCGGGTGGTCAGCCTCGCTAACTTGGTTGATGCACGCATCGTATCTCAATTGCGTGGATCGATGCTTATGATGTCAATCACTGGATTGTCTGGTCCAGACTCGATTATTTACAGACCGCCGTCATATAGCTGGAATATTGCTGAGTGTGGCGTTAAACAACAAACAAACAAACACTTCAATGAAATTTCATGGCAATGCTCTGGGTACCATGACGTCACAAGCAAAAGACATCACTATATTTTGGTTAGCTGTACTTTTTTCACTCAAGACACTGTATAGTGCTGTTGACAAACTACGATAGCAAATATGATAAACCTTTTAGTGCTCTCGTATGTTTTTATACTCGGCAGGCCTCGGAGTTTTAAACGTGTATCAACTCGTGTTGATATATTTACATCTAAATAACCTTGGGTGAGATTCTCTATGTCTAATGTTCTATCCCACAAATTGACAAATATTTTGTCAATCAGAACCCATAGGTATCTGTGAATATTTCTGAGTATGGATACTCTATGTTTTAAAAACAAATTGAGTACATTCAAAATAAAATGTCATCAAAATAATATCAAAGTAATTCGGCAATATAAGTGAAATTACACAAGCGAGTGTGGGGAACCAACGCCCACTTTGATTTTTAGATAGGGCAGACATTTCGCTATGACTTTTTTCTATGTAGTCCGATTTCATTATTTCGTGTAATTTACGTTGGTACCCAAATGTACATTCTTTTGAAATATCGATATTTGTGACAGAAGTTTGGTAACGCGTGACCAAAACGCAATACGAGAATGTAATATCGCGATCCATAGTACATTCACGTCAGGACAGGTGATTTTAGCTTGTTCGAAGCATAGGAATAGTGTCTTTGCGTGCGTGCGTGCGTGCGTGCGTGCGTGCGTGCGTGTAGCTCTCTGTTGTCTTTTTCTGTCATAAGGGAAATCGAGTTTTGTCATTTATAGAATAGACTTTAGCAACCCATGCTTGGTGTAAAAGTCGACTATGCTGGTCGTAAGAGGCGACTAACGGGATCGGGTGGTCAGGTTCGCTGACTTGGTTGATGGATGTCATCGTATCCCAATCGAGGCTCAGAATGTCAATCACTGATTGCCTGGTCCAGACTCGATTATTTACAGACCGCCGTCATATAGCTGGAATATTGCTGAGTGCGGCGTTAAACAACAAACAAACAAACAAAACAAAACTAAAATGAATAGTTAACACAATTGGACCGGACAATTCAGTGATTGATATTGTGAGCAGCCATCTACCAAACACCGAGCCTAACAACTTTATTCAGTTAGTTGAATCTAACGAACAGCACAGACTGCTTCTGACTTATTCTCACACGGAAACCCCACGGGTCGTCGCTGTTATTGAGTATTTGAGGCCCCATTGCGACTGGGTTGTGGTGTTAAACAACAAGCAAGCAAGCAATGTATTCTTAGAAATGTGTTTTTCCCATGGAGTTGTCCATGTGATGTATCACTATGTCGTTCAGTGAGTGAGTTTAGTTTTACGCCGCTTTTAGCATTATTCCAGCAATATCACGGCGGGGGACACCACAAATGGGCTTCACACTTTGTACCCATGTCGGGAATCGAACCCGGGTCTTCGGCGAGACGAGCGAATGCTTTAACCACCAGGCTACCCGACCGCCCCTATGTCGTTCAGATATAGGGTAGTATTGTATAAATAGCTTAGGTAAAGCTGTCAAAAAACATAAATCGTGTCACAGGATTTTCAAGCCTGTCCGATTACAGTGGAACAATATGCTGTTTCACACACATAATACACTTTCGCAAAACACTTATTACCGTATCCCTTTCAAACCAGTTTCCGTATATTTTTTTACCCAGATGGGGAATTTATCATTTACATCGCTGGGTAATATTTTAGTAGATGAAGTAGACCCAGTGCCGTGCGTCCGCAATTCTCAACCAACGGACGCTTTTGAGAACGTATAATCAGTGGTCAATCTGGGAGATACACGTACAAATAGGCATTTTGAAATCTTCTGACGAAACATGTTTGCTTTCGTGAAATACGCCTTCTATCCTAAAGAAACAGAAACCTATTTTCTACTGCCATGTACTGTAACTATTCCATGGTATTTGGTAATTGACAGCCCGTTCGGTTCTCCTGTTTCTTTAAGTCATACAAACGTGTGGTATGAGCGTTGTCCGAACCAAGCTGGATGTTGATTGGGAGCAACTACGATTTTCCGTATCAGGCCTATTTCCACCCCCCTAGGGGGTAATTTGCCGCCACGCAATTTGCAGGGTGGGGTGAGGGAGGCCCCATTTTCTCCGTAGATAGTACATATTGTGTTTCATCCGAGCACAAAGAATAGGAATTTGGTAAGAGTTTAGCCCCTTTAATTAAAACCCGTGAAGATCCGGGGTAGAATAGGTCTTCAGCAACCCATACTTGCCGTAAAAGGTGACTATGCTTGTCGTAAAAGGCGACTAACGGGATCGGGTGGTCAGGCTCGTTGACTTGGTTGATGCATGTCATTGGTCCCAATTGCGTCGATCGATGCGCATGATGTCAATCACTGGATTGTCTGGTCCAGACTCGATTATTTACAGACCGCCGTCATATAGCTGGAATATTGCTGAGTGCGGCGTTAAACAACAAACCAACCAACCAACCCCTTTAATTAAGTGATAGAGACCAAATTCAACAGGTGTCGCTTGTATGTAAACGTTTATCAAAATTAGGTCAAATTCAATTTTAATTTTAATTCGACACTAATGCATAGATAGTAAAAGATCAGCATATTTGAAAATATATGAGTGGTGTTACATAACCAGCCTCCGGACGTATGTATGTTTACAATCAAGGGATGAGGATGCTGCGACATTGTTGATGAACGGAGTACGTCTGTGTTGCAACGCCTTCCAAAGCGTCATCCCAGATGTTACACTCACAGGATGTCAGGATATTCCAGGAGCTCTTCTGGAATTTCACATGTCTGCATACCAGCGGACGATGTTGCCTGGCAACAGAGCCTGGATTCTCTGATGAGTATGCTTCAGAGGACAAGCGTTTCCGTGACGCAGACAAACAGATGACACGCAACTCTTGGTGCAAAAAGTGATTGTGTCATGCATATGTATGATTCCTATGGCGTTTGTTTTATAACAATGAAGTACAAATTCAAAATATTTATACACCCCGTTAGCAGAGAAAGTGCTTCTTGTATTTTCTTGTCAAATGCCATGGCTGCCTCATTCAGTGACCTAAACAAAGGTTCCAGTCTTCTTGCCCTGCGTCCGGTCTTTTGGGTCGGATGGGAACGAGGGTTGGGTGGGGTGGTGTGTGTGTGTGTTTGGGGTGGGGGGAGGGGTATCAATCAGTCCATGCTACAAACATGCGCATAATGTATTTTCGTTATTATTTGTATTTGAACCTTTAGCCTATATGTGAGTGAGTATGGTTTTACGCCGCTTTTAGCAATATTCAAGCAATATCACGGCGGGGGACACCAGAAATGGGCTTGACACATTGTACCCATGTCGGAAATCGAACCCGGGTCTTCGGCGTGACGAGAAAACGCTTTAACCACCAGGCTACCCGACCGCCCCTAGCCTATATGTACACAAACACATTTAAGGTGTGAGTGGCGCAGATTAGATAGATTAATAATGGTAGCATGGTCGGGCCTCGCAACGATCATGTTATGTCACAATATAACACAGATGGAAGGAATATTTGTTGTGTACTTTTTAACTGATCTTCCTGGTGTCACACTGAGGCAGAATGAAAGTAGTTCCGGTATAATATTTTTTTATAAAAGTGGTAAAGGTCTAAAACCATCATCGCTTCAGTCTTTCCGGCCGAATAAGAACGACAGGCGTACTAAATGTAACTCTGTTCAAAGTCGAGTTGACCAAAGAATGACCCTTGGATGACGGATGTCAATAGGATTAATTGAACGTTTCTGGTCATATACAATTTCACTAAACGTTATGGATAAATGTAGTGGCGGCAGTTATTTCAAACGCATCAATGTATCACGAATCTTGCTTGGAGATCTGCTCCAACATCTATTCATCGTGAAATATCGGAACTTTCAAAGAGGATTACTGCGATGGACAATTCCCAATTTAACGCATCGGTGGCCAAGATTTTGTCCGATCAATTCCTTCTTTTCGCTTGTACCGTATGTTCCCGTGTTCTTTTAAGGTGAATAATTGACTTTCCTCTGCAAGTATTTGTGACAAGTGCCACCGATGTGGCGATACACTCACCGTTTCGCGAACACCTGGCATCATAAACAATTTAATAGTGATTCATAAACACATGCTCATGACATAGTCAGAAACGTACAATGAATTATGGTAATTGTTTTGTGGCTTTTAGTCAAAACATCAGATCGCTGGTTTATATGGCCCTGGGTATGTATGGGCCTCCGTCATATAGTAACTGTCATGGTAGAACCTACTACAGTAAACTACGGTTATAACGAACACGTTTATAACGAACTGACCGATATAACGAACTAACTTTTTAGTCCCGACTATTTGCTGTAGTTATGCTGTATATATGCATATAACGAATTACGGTTATAACGAACTAAAATTAGTAGTCCCTTTGAGTTCGTTATAACCGTAGTTAATGTATATCAATTTAGTGGTTTTGGAAGTAGATCTAACACCTATAAATCTAAAACAGGGACTAATCGACCAAGGTTATTAATGTTATTATATTAAGACTTAGTATGAATTGCAGTGTTGGACAAGTGCACAATTGCACAACTTGACCCGTGAAGATCCGGGGTAGAATAGGTCTTCAGCAACCTATGCTTGCCGTAAAAGGCGACTTTACTAACAGGATCGGGTGGTCAGGCTCGCTGACTTGGTTGATGCATGTCATCGATCCCAATTGCGTCGATCGATGCTCATGGTATTAATCACTGCATTGTCTGGTCAAGACTCGATTATGTACAGACCGCCGTCATATAGCTGGAATATTGCTGAGTGCGGCGTTAAACAACCAACCAACCAACCAACCAAGAGCACAACTGACCGCTATAACGCATAGATGCAGCATGTGAAATAGTCCAGATTGCCTTAGCATATGTAACTCTGAACAAGTGAAGTAGTCAAAAAGGTATCATTCAAAAACTATATATACGTCGTCAAAACAAACTGTTATAAAGTAACTCTGCGACAATACCTAAGGGATGGTTAGTCCATCATGAACACTGAACCCCTGTCTTAGCTGAAGTAGGATCAGTTATAACCAGCCCACCCTGTAAATATAACTGACAGTATGAACGTCCTTACATAGAACGCATTTGCCTGTACACTGCCATCCCACTTGTAGAACCGGACGAAGAGATGCAATGGGATCTCTTCATTCCACATCTAACAGCATTTGCAGAACAGCTACTTAACCACAATCTAGATATACAGTCAGTAACAGAAATATGTTCAAGGTTCATTTTAATAAAATAAGCAAAGTGTTTGAATAATAAGCAAAGTGTTTGAATAATAAGCAAAGAATACTTACGGCTGGCGACCTTCCTAGATGGCAACTGTACGTCTCGGCAAGAGTGCACTCTGTGAATATGCATGGCACTTGTTCTATTAGCATTGGTGACAGATGGTCGTATACGTTGTTGTATGTGCGTGATGTGGACGGTTTGCTGGAATGGTAGTTCAGTCGTGAATCCAGGATAATCGAATGAAACATATATATGTAAATTTATACTGGTTTTGTTTAAACTGATGAGGCTGTTTCTATTGTTAGATGTAGATGTAGTACATGCCACAGGGGCCCCTGGGATCGGTGTGCATATCTTCCTCAAATGATATATTCACATCGTGCGACAACGGTGTCACCATTGTGTATTTAAACAAGGCACGTTTTAGGTTATAACAATACATTTTATTTATAGTACCAGCAACGTGACATTGACATGGATTGGCATTGATTTTATAACAAGTGAGTACTTAAAACAACATTAATTACCCATAATAAACAAGGCACAAAACGTTATAACATTATTTGCTGTTTGTTTCTTTTTTTATAATTTTAATTATTTTTTATAATTTTATTATTTTGTATTCACATATACATATTTATTGAAGGATACCCAAGGATACTGAACACGTATCGCTATATGGCTGAAACAATGCCGACGTTCAATTTTAGCTCGCTCATTTACTGAACAAGTAAGATAAGTGTAGTTACTGTGACTTACACAAATATATTCTAGGATGATGATTTCAAACTTTTAAAACTTTCAGGTGACATATACATAGTTGAAGTATTATCATCATTGCAGTGATGCCCGTGCGGACAAAAGATGCGGCAACTTCCTGAATGGAGTGCTCCGACTTGGTAACATGGTTGATCACGTGAGTGAGTGAGTGAGTTGGGTTTAACGCCGCTTTTAACAGTATTCCAGTTATATCACGGCGTGTCAGCTTAATGTCTAAGACGTTTATCACTTCGGCGAAACCCACGAGCACGGGTATGGTGCTGACAAACCTAGAAACATAATCGGGGCGAACCAGGATTCGAACCCACAATCACAGGTTTCTGGCGTGCCCAAGGGACGCAACTCTGCACAGCGAATCGCGGCACCTCAGACCACTGGGCCACCGGTATCCCCGTTGATTACGTGAACTAGACATCCGTGGATCGTTGCTCGTAATATCAGTCATTGGATTATCTGGTCCAGATTTGATGGTTTCAATAATTGCCGAAAGCGGCGTGTTACAATATGATGATGTTAGTTGGTTAACGCCGTACTCATCAATATCCCAGCTTTATGACGGCGGTCTGCAAATAACCGAGTGTGGACCAGACAATCCAGTGATTGACATGTACATGTATGTATGTATGTATGTATGTATGTATGTATGTATGTATGTTTGTATGTATGTGGTTGACATCATCTTGCCATGTTTCAAGAAGTAAAATTCACTAGTTCACAGAAACTATTTCTCTAATCGATATTTGACGTTGAATGCACCATATTGATTGACAGGAAAGATAGAACGATGTTACCAAGGATACGTTAGATCATGGAGGGGGTAATTTGAACAGCGTCATGACGTCACCCCATTATGGCGTAACTCAAAAAGTGTACTGTTTCGCATGATAAATTACAGTCGGCGCCTCTGATCTTTTAGCTAAGCATCCTAGAAAGTGATATAAGTAATTCTGAATAATACTTTGGAAGACCCCGGCGCATGGAATCAGACCACCCTTGGGTTCGGGGAACATGAACTAAGTAAAGGGAACATCCCATGTCGCCCTCCACAGCGGTGGACAACTCTTGGTTGGTTGGTTGGTTGTTTATTCTACCATGACATTGATGAAGGCTTGATTCTGATTGGTTAAAAAGAGGTTTCCATTTTGCTACGGAAACCCCTTTCAAATATATTTAGCCTTTTCACAAAAAACGTGCGCATGAATACATAGAAAGCCTACACAGCGATTCGTAAAAAAAGGCTGCCGATCGATGACCCCCATATAAACTGTAAAACGAATCTTTATTTCCTCTAATACACGCTGGGTCTCTAATACCAGCCAGGTCTCTAATACACGCCGAGTCAAGGGCTCTCGCGAAATTAATAGACGGCGTAGCGTCAAAAAGAGGAAATACGGTAGTTTGATATCGGATGTTTGGGGCGCTCGATTCAAGATTATAATAAAGAGGTATCTATTTTACAGTGGGACTACATCAAATTTCAAAACACAGTAGGTTTATCTCCTAAACGCAGCACTCAGCAATATTCCAGCTATATGACGGCGGTCTGTAAATAATCGAGTCTGGACCAGATAATCCAGTGACTGACATCATGACATCCCACGCAGTTGGGATACGATGACATGCATCAACTAAGTCAGCGAGCCTGACCACCTGATCCCGTTAGTCGCCTTTTACGTCAACTGTTATCACGCGATAGGAAACTATTTTGGAAAACGGTCAAATCAATTAGTATTTCACATTGTAAATATTGTCAAGCCTAAGGAAATACGTTTTTAAGTTGTTTAATAAACTTGACCTAAATAATAAAAATATAAATGAAAATATTAATGACGAGGCAGTGCTTGTACTAGTCCGGACCGATGCCGATTTATAGTGCTCGCACACTGAGATACCACGCCTCAGTTAACAAGAGTACCCCACTTAGACACAGTATACTGACTCCGAGCCGACCAGTCCTTGTTTTAGCCCTTAATGCCGAGCGCCAGACAGGGTAACAACAAGCACCATCGTTTAACGTCTTTTGGTATGACGAGGCCGGAGATCGAAATCCGGACCTTCCACTCTCCGGGCGGACGCTCTACCATTAGACCACGGAGGCGGTCCTTTGTAGAGAGTTTCACAGCAGCTGCTTTAGTGCCGTGTGACGCACAGCCATCATCCTTGCAACAAATAGTAAATATGCTAAAATCATGACATGGATACCATCCAAATTAATTGAAACTGTGTGCTTAGGAGTATCCGTAACATTTTGTGCGATATATTAATTTTGATGAATATCCTTTTACAAATTACCTACTACGAATTAAACGTTTATTACAGAACACATAATAGGTCATGTGGTTATACAGGTGAGTCAATAAGAGTTCTGTCATAAGCATGTGTTGAATAATAACTATCTAATAATGCTGAAGTAATTCAATATAGGGGTTTGAAATTTTAAACATAGAAATGCGATGTTGTATTTTTTTTTAATTTCCTTTGTAATTTCATTCGGATTGATTACCATATTGGTTGCGATGTTCAAATTAATCTTCTAACTTTGATTCACTGATTATTATTATTTGAATGATAAAAGAGGGTGACATATCTTCATTTCGCCTACTTATGTTTTCACCATCTACTGTCAAGTTGTTTACAATAAACATACTCCCCCCCCCCCCCCCCCCCCCAAAAAAAAAAGGAACAGGGGAAAATATTTAAATACGGTGTCTTCCTTTCAAATGATATTTCTGAACCGAAGCACATATCTATGATTGTCAAACTTCACATGATGAAAGTCAAGTGTCTGTTGTCACATCTGACGTAAATGTCACACAAACGTTCACACAGCGTGATATGGTAGTACTTTCAATGGCATGCCAGTGATGGGTGATATGATCATTTACCCGTGTCGTAAAATGCCAAGAAATTATAGCACTGCAGATTTGTTTAGTCTCTGAAAATGAAGAAAGTCACTGGGCTCCCTTTTATTATATTTTTATTAAGATAACTGAACAACTGTTTTTTCTGTACGATATGTATATTTCAGAGACTAGATGTTAGTCTACGTGATATGGCAGCATTACCAGTTCTGCTACGCCTACCCATTACCTGATGAGTTGCTGAATTCGATCCTGTGGTATTCCTACCCTTCGTCATGCAATGATGCGGACGCGTTTGGGCGGCGGTTGACGTCGTCGGACACAGCGAACGAGTTCATCCCGTAGATGTTCAGTTGGTTTTAAATCAGCACATCTTGATGGCGTAGAAGCCAAGTAATGTTCTGGTTCAGTAGGAAATAGTGACACCTACACCATGTGGTCGATCGTTGTGCTGCTGAAGAACTCTCGCAGGGTCGATGACAGGAAACAGATGAATGACGTTTGAGGATTTCATCTTCGCAACGTTTGAGGATTTCATCTTCGCAACGTAATGTTGAGGAGGACGAGGCCGGTCTGGACCACCAATATACAACGAAGGCGGTCCTGTCTCCCCGATGACTGACATCAGCCTATGCCATAAGTGCAGCTCGTACCAGGTTTCCTGCGATCAGGATAAGTCTTGGATTCACTAACAAGTAAAATGTTGCACCATATTGCACGAAGTACCCATGAAGCTGCGCTGTCAGCTCATAAACACTCGGGGGCATGGGTGGCCCAGTCGTCTAAGGCGCCGCGATTCGCTGTGCAGAGTTGCGTCCCTTGGCCACGCCAGAACCCTATGATTGTGGGTTCGAATCCCGGTTCGCCCCGATTATGTTTCTAGGTTTGTCAGCAGCATACCCCTGCTCGTGGGTTTCACCGAAATGGTAAACGTCTGAGACCTGCATCACTTCGGGCTTTCCTCCCACATTAAGCTGACACGCCGAGATATAACTGGAATACAGTTAAAGGCGGCGTTAAACCCAGCTCACTCACTCACTCATAAACACTCGAACATCGATGTCATGACAATGACATCATTGATTATTTTTGGTTTCTGTACGTTTTAATGTGAACAGCTTTCACTAACATATATAGCGACGCTGTAGAAGTCCGCTGTGTGCAAACAACATACGCTGTCCTCGCCTAATACCACAATACCTATTGGTGTCCTCCTTCAGGGCGAGACCGCCTCCGTGGTCTAGTGGTAGAGCGGAAGGACCGGGGTTCGATCCCCGGCCTCGTCCTCCTCAAGGGCGAGACCGCCTCCGTGGTCTAGTGGTAGAGCGGAAGGACCGGGGTTCGATCCCCGGCCTCGTCCTCCTCAAGGGCGAGACCGCCTCCGTGGTCTTGTGGTAGAGCGGCCGCCCGGAGAGCGGAAGGACAGGGGTTCGATCCCCGGCCTCGTCATACCAAAAATATGGTAC